GAATATCACCTACTGTGGTGCTGGCTGAATGTCCCTTCTGTGCCACCACTGGCGTGGGGCTGGAGGTTCTCCTGCACCCCAGCGAGCTCACCCAGCACGAATATTGCAAGGACAATGCGAGAGGAGGGAAGGCATGGTGGCTGAAAGTCAAACAGCCGCCTCCGGAAGGAGACGGAGCTTTTATAGGAACACAGAAATTGCCAGACTGGAACCGAGCTGCTCCTCGTATTGTTAAGCCTCCCTTTTCAGAGCTGGCTGCTTCCAGAAGCGGGGCGAGGAGGCTTGCCCCAGGGGTGATTCTTCCAACCCTCGAACGCAGGGAGTTAGCCTGTGCCTTGCAGCATGAAGGGTTTACACGCCATCCAAAAGCTGATTTTCTCTCTTGCTCCTTTTTTTTTTTTTTAACTTTACTATTGTAATAGTAGCTATTCATTCTCTTTATAAATGCCTGATCCTTCTCTCAATCTCGCTGAGGTTTTGACTGCAACAATACCTAGTGGTAATGATTTACCCATGCTAATTATGCATTTTGCAGAGGAAAACATATTGTTCGTAGCTTTAAATGGAGTGATTTTTCAGTTTAATTGAACTTACATCTCTGTATCCCTGGGGCAGGCTCGCAATTCAGTTCCTCCCCTCCTCCTGGGCCACGCAGGCGCTTTCTCAAGCCCAGCACCAGTCACCTGTTGAAATGTTTTTCAGGTTCTTTCCCTCTTGTCAGTTCCATTTAAATCTGAGCCTCTCTGCAGATGAAGCTTTGCAAAAGGAAACAGCTCTTTGCCTGTTGGAAGAATGGGAGAGGCTCCGCTAAGTTGTTTGTTGATATTTCCTGACAGCTTTTCCGAATTCCTCGCTGTTCTGCAGCTGTTAAATTTGTTGTCTCAGCTGCGAGGATTACTCTAGCTTTGCTCGAGCTGCGTTTTCTCACCATTCATCAAGCTTCTGGTGTTGCACAGAAAGATCCATCAACACCAGAGCCACCTCCAGAGCAGCGTTTGGGTGGAAGTCTGCTTCCCCTGCCTGGGACTGAACTCGCTGCCAATTTTTGAAGGGTGTTTGTGGTTTCTCAGCGAGCCTCAGACCACGGCGGAAGGGATGTGCCATAGAAGTAAAAGGAGGTTGGATCAGGAAAAGGCGTGTATTGGGGTTTTTGAATGCCTGGGCACATGGAGCAAGGCTTTTGTGGGGCAGGTGCATCCTTGGAGGTGCTGAGCAGAAATAGCAGCACACCTGGATTTCCTGAGTGGCCTTGGCAGGTTGGGCAGGGGGAGCAAGAGGCAGAGATGAGCCCTGGCTGGTTCTCAGAGGTGTCTTCGCTACTGGAGTGGCAGCTGCAGGAGAGATTTATTCTGTGATTTACCATTTTATTCTCCCTTTTGGCTCTTGCTGTGCCGGCGAAGAAATTTCCTGCAGAAATCTCAGCGTATCAGGAGGACGTGGCACTAGCAGCGGAGAAGAGCACCATCTCGCACGGTCGTTAAAAATGTATAAGTAGTTTCAGAAGCGAGTTGCTTCCTCTGAGAAGCAAATCGTTCATAATTCTGCCTCGTATTTAGAGACTTTTATCTCCAGAGAGAGCTCCAAACCGTTCGGTATAGTCTTGATTTATTTTATTTTATTTTCCTCCTGAATTTTCAGAGCTAAACTAGAAAAGGGGCTTAACAGGGGAAAGAAAAAATCACGTGCTTGTACTGAGCAGAGAGAAGCTAACAGCCTGTCCATGAGCCACCACCAGCTTTCCAGCAATGCAGGCACCACCTGGAGTGACCTTATGAAATTTTTTTTTCCAGCTGTCCCACTCATTTTGGGGGATTCAGAGGCTTTGGGGCGGGATATAGCGGATTCAGACTGCTTTATAAGCAGCTGTCCCTCAACCAGGCTCGCTGGCTGTCTTAGCAAGTTGCCAGCACAGCGAAGAGGAGCCACGAATGCAGGAGCTGTAACCGTGCAGGCTGAATTTAGTAGAGGAAGTTCATCTGAAGCATTTCCAGCAAGCTGTGGCGAGGGTGAGTCGGGATAAGTCATCTTCACAGGAACAAGAATTAGTGTGGTGAATCGCTGAACATCCCTGCTCTCTTCTGCTCATCCTTGGCTTCCGAGGTTTCTTGCTTTGTGCTGTGTGAAAGCAGAATGCCATCGCCGTCCCTGCCCGTGAATAATTTTAGTCTGCATCGGGCAGACCACCCGGCCATACCTGTGGTGTGTTGCTGAAGCTGGGCAGAAAATGTTTTAAGGCTTCTGATGGGGCAATGACAGAGGCAGATGCACCTCGCAGCCGCAAGGAAGCAAAAGCTGTTGGGAGCATGACTCGCTCAGCAAGGCAGGAGTGACTCGACAAAGGGTTTGAATCGTGTTTATGGTGCTTTCGTGGCAGAGTTTAGAGAGGAGGGAGCAGGAGGAACTTGGGACACCGGGGAGATGAAGAGAGCCAGAACTGAAACGTCTCTCTGCTCCTTTGAGAATAGAAACCCCAATGCTAGGCTAGGAAGAAAAATCCGCTCTCTCCCCTCCCTCTCATCCCACGTCTTGAGTTCCTCTGTTTATTCCCACTGCTCGGCGGCTCAGGTGTGGTGCTGGGGAAGTGTCCCCGTGCTGCACTCGGGGTTTTGCAAGCACCTCCATCCACCAGATGGGCTACAGGTGGTGGGAGCCCGAGCGGTTCTGCTGTCTGGTGAACCCCAAGGTGTATTTCTGTAGCTGACAGCTGTTCCTTGGGTTCGTGCTCGAAAAGCAAAGCTCTGGGAAGCTGCTCTTAGCGGTGGGTAATGTGTTAGGTGAGCGCAGCATCCCTCTGTGCTCCATGTTCTAGGTAATTACAGCCCCGCCGCTCGCAGAGCAGAGCACAGCGGGCGCCCCGGATTTCTTATTTGGCTTTGCTATTAACTCCGGGCTGGGGATGCAAAGGCAGCTGCTTGCCCATGGATCGCGTGCTTTGCCTCTTCACCACACCCAGCTGCAAACAGGAGAGGTGGCCTTGAGCTCTGTCCCTCAGAGCTGCAAGTCCTGGGTCTTCTGCCTGCATCCTCATGAGGTTGCCTTTGGCTGGACCCCACTTTTTCTATTTTTTCCTCTGCCTTTCCTTGCTGTAGCCCCGAGGTACAACGAGGCTGCTGCCTTGTCCTTCGCCATTGCTGCCTTTTAGATGCAAACTGTTTGCTGCAGGTGGGCTGTTGCATTTACCTGCACAAAATTAATTCTCAAGACTCGCATGCAGCCACGTGGGAGTGCACCCGTGGCGAAGGAGAACAGGGGGAGTGCAGCCCCAGGCTGTCATCTCTCCGTCCTGTCGCAGGAAGGAGCTCAGCACGATGATGAGGAGATTTCTTTTAGCATTGCCATCTTCCCAGGCCTGCCTGGTTCTGCATCTCTGCTGAGAGGTCTGGGAGGGGATGTGTGTGGTATCGGTGCCCGTTCTGCAGCGCCTGTGCGGTAAATTTGACTCGATCCTGCTGTTTTTCTGTCTCTTAGAAAGTTTTGAAATAACGGCTTCAAAGCACTCAGATGATATGTTGCTCCACAATCTGTCTCTGCTGCTGCCAGTGCTTCTGAGGAGCCAATTTACCATGTGCTTAACCTTTTAGGGCTTTTCCCCCGAAGGCATTACTATAACTCCCACTGAAAAAAAAAAAAGAGAAAATTGCCATTGCCCTTTGCAGAGGTGGCTAATGATTTTTAGGTGATTTCTGGCAGCTTCTGCTGCATCAAAATGTGCTGAGCAGGCACCTCCTGAAAGCAGGATGCTCCGGAGATGTCCAGCTGGCACCCGAGCATGGGGTCCCCTGATTTTCTCTGGGCTGAGAGCACTGGGGCTCAGCTTCCCGGTAGTGATGTGATGCAGGAGACTGACCCCAGGACCTATAAGTGGTTCCTTTTTCAGCCCCTGCATTGTCTTCATCCCTTTGGCCACCTCTCAGTATTTCTTCTGCATCCATTCCCTGCCTGTAAAAGGGGATTTGCCCCTCTGGGGAGCGCTGAGGTGAGGTGGCAGGGATCTAAACAGAGCCTAAAAGTAGCTGCATTGGAAAACCACAAAGAAAAAGCTACAACTTTCTCGAACAAAACTCCTGGTAACTTCAAAGGCAGATTAAAGACTTTGCCTGTGTCAGGACTTCAGCATTTGGCCCAGGAATTAGACAAATGGAATAGCGCGAGAGCGATTGCCAGAAAACTGGAGAAGGGAGAGATAAGGTAACATGAAATGCTCAGCGTCAGCATTTAGGGACATTAGTGCTTGTGGAGATAATTTTATCAACATGAAGGACAATAATTAAGTAAAATCTCTGTGTCGCTGTTGAGAGTGGTGTTTGTTAACAACCTGTTCAGCTGTGCTGTGCTGCGGGACAAGGTGTGCCAGTACCTGCACTAGTGATAGCTCTGTGGGTTCGTCACGTATCCCTCGTTGTTTTGTCATTTTGGACTTGGAAGGTGTTGGGAATGGGGCTGCCTGGTGGGAGGAGAAAGAAAGAGACCTCATCTTTGGCTCGTCCTGAATCCCAACCCTTCTGGGCATGAAGGGAAGGGAAGGAGACGGGGGCTGCTGCAGTGTCAGGAACTGGTTTCTGGTTTGGTTCCCAAAGTGACTCAGTCCCTGCCTCCCATCTCTCGCTGCGTGTTTTGCTCTGAAAATGTTGGGTCCTACCCTAAAAGCCGGAGTCAGTGTAATATTTAAGTAGCTGGCTGCTTTAAATTTAAAAGAAAAAAAAAAAGAGAAATTAAATAGATGTGACTCAATATTGATTTCCACTTGTTTTTGTGGAAACTCTAAAAATGCCAAGATGAAATATTTGGACTTTTCCTTGGGTTTCTTTTCCATATTTTGTTAGAAGCTCTTCGCCCAGTTTGACTCGAATTCCTGAATAATTCATAGTCTGTAAATAGCTTCCTCCTCCTCTGGTAAATAGACTCTTTGTCCCCCTGCCTTGGCACGCTCCGAGCAGTGTCATCGTGCTGAGTCGCTGCTTGGAGAGCCGGGGTGCTCACGGTGTGTGCTCTCTCCGCAGAGTTATGTCATGCCCAGACCACCGAAGGGCTCCATGAGGATTTATAGAAGATGCCCCGTGTCTTGGCGCCTCTGGTGCTCCTTCTGCTGTGGCTGATGAGGATCGCTGCCAGCCCCCACTCCCTGAGGATCGGTGAGTACAAAGCTCGCTGCGACCTTCCTCTGGCTGCTCGGACCGCTCCGCGTAGGCGTGCTCGGAGAAGGCTCTGCCCGTGTGGTTTTTGGGCTGCTGGTGGTCGTGGTCGTGGCTCAGATGGGGCTGGGTCGCTTCCAGAGCTCCAGCCTCGTGCCTGCCTTCTTGAAATGTGGTCCCCGTCTCGTAAATGCGATGCGGTGTACGGCGAGCGTACGCATCTGCATTGATTTTTACGGGGGTAATGCTCCCTGATGGGAATCGCTCTCTGTATAAATGTGAAGTGAAAGTCACTCCTCGAGGAGACACTGAGGGATGAGGCTCTTTCCCCCACCCTGCATTCCCCCCTTGATGCTCTCCTAAGCTCCAAGCAGAAGGGAATGGTTTTCTGTTGCAGATTTATTTGTCCCCGTGTTGATGAGCAAGGAGTGTTTGAGCCCAAACTGAAAGTGTCACGAGAACATTAATAACTCCAAAATGCTCTGTTTGTAAGAGAGTCCTCGCATTTGTTCTCCTCTGGGCTTTATTAAAAAGTGTTCAGGAAGAGGCACCGTCGTCTTCACTCCCTGCCTGTGCGGATTAGGGAAAAGAAATGCATCTGGAAACCTTGTAATGAAACTTGCTTCACAGCACTGACACCGTGCTCTGCTGTTTGGAAAGCAAACTGCTTCTCCTGCCTGTTCTCTCTGGAGCCACTAGCTGTTTTTATTAACTATTTGTTGCAGATAAGCTAATCTATTCCCGTCCCCATTTGCAACTTTCACAGGTGACACTTGAAATAAAATTACTTCTCCTTTTTGCCAGCAGAGCATGGAGCAACTCAGAAATACAGCGAGGGAGGGTGAGTGCTGGCAGGAGCCGGGGTGGTTTATAGCCCCAGCATCCCTGATTCATGTGGAGCACTTGTGCAGGACCATCTCTGCTCCGCGGGCTGCATTTCACATCGATGGGCAGATCCTCCACTTGAGGCAGGGGATGGGGATGGGGGGGTTACGTGCCTGCTGTGGCTCAGTTTGTGCATGCTCAGGGACCTCCTGAGGAATTCGATGATGGCCACAGTGAGGCCAAGTCCCTGCTCATCTCTGGGGGCAGGTGAGATGAAGTTGGGGTCTCAGTGTTTGGGACACAACCCACAAGCAGCTGCAGAGGTGGTAGGAAGTCCTCCTCCCTCCGTCTCTTCCAGGTATTGGTTTTGTCTTCTGGACCTGGTAGCTGCTACTGGTAAAGGAGATCTTGATGCTCTGCTGGGGTTTTAAGTCACATCCCTAGTATAAATGACTCTTGGGTATCATTCACGTGTCCAAGTTGTACTTAGCAGGGATGCAGGGTGGTGAACAGCACAAACACGCTGGGTACATGTGAGCCTCTCCCCGTCAGCATCGTGTGCCTGCAGAGGCCCAGGGCTGCAGCAAATCTCTGGTGCTTTGGTCTTCATCCCAGAGACGGCTCTGCTGGTGGCTCTGCACTCCCTCACACTGCGGTCACGCTCCCTTGGACCCGTCTCTCCAGTTTTAAAATCATCGGGCGTTTAGGAATTCTGTGCTTTTGACTTTTCTTGGCAAAAATAATGGAGCTGCTCCAGAAATCGTTGCTCTTAAAATTACAGCACTGTCTATGATAACTGGACACTGGATTTCCTTAGCCTGTGGAACCCTCCTAGGACTGAAGAATTTGCATTTGGGTGCTGCAGAGGGAGTGGAGAACTCAGGATTTCAGCAGAAGGAGTAATGTTGTGGTAGGAACAGTAAGGAGCAACTCTGAACCTTCTAAAATGCACCAAAGGTCATGGCTTTTGTGCCAGGTGGTGTTAAATTTTGGAGTGGCCAGAGACCCTGCGGTCAAGGTCCGGGGGTCTCCAGGTACCTGCCACCTCCTGGGAGTGGGACACCAGCACTCCTGACCTTGGGTGAGCTGATGAAGGAGAAACAGCTTCTTAAGGAGTGACTCTAGGGGTTTGGGACCCAGTGAATCCTCCCCCACTTAAGTCTAAAGCAACTTCTCTGAAAAAATGGAGTCTGAAGCAGATGGGTGAAGAGCTGAGGAAGGGTTTGGGGTTTTGGTTTTGTCTCTTTGCGACACAGCTTTATTTTAAAAATATATCCAGCCAAAAAGTTAATAAAAAATAAAGCACAACATAAAAGGAGAGAAAAATATTACTGGCAGCCCTGAAATCATTCCCCAAAGCATGCTTTTGGCAAGGCAGGGGGATACGGTATCTAGCGACATAAATCAATGCGCTGCATCGCGAAGGGAAACAGAGCAGCACGAGCCTTTGAATATTCAAAGAAAACGCAAGCTAACATTCAGAATAATTCTGAGAGCCATCTGGTAATGGACCACTGAAAGGCGCAGTTTTATGATCAGTGTGTGAGGTGAACGCAGGCAGTGCCCTGCCCTGCTTCCTCCCCAGGTGGCTGGAGAGGTTACTGCTGCTGGGCACGGCTGGAAGGAGGCAGGATGGTGCTGAGCCAGGGGCACTCGGCTTTTACACCGAGCTCTGAGCCCCCCTGCGGCCGCTTTCCTGGGGTTTCAGGTGGCTTTTGGCCCTGACACCTCTCGGTGGAGTTTCTGCTAGCGGATTGCTTCGAGTACACGCTGAGGAAGGGCTGCGTGTTGCATTGCAGGGAGCTTCAGAGGCATCGTCTGTGCAAAGCAGTGAGCAGAACATGGGCTGTGGGTGACCTTCCTCACAGCCTTGCTGTGCACAGGCACAGCTTGTAGCCTGCTGTACACCTGGAGCTGTTCCTGTTCTGTTTCTCTCCTCACTACACAGGAACTACCACTGGTTTGGGCCTTTTTTTTTCAGCATTTTTCTCCAGGCTTAAACTCTGCGTTCCCTTCTGATCCCATCCTAGAGAAAGTCTCCTAAATCACGTTGTCTGGGAGACCTTTGTGGGGAAAAACACAGACCTGCATGCTCCATCCACGATAGCTCCTCTTTTCAAAGAGCCTCTTGTTTATCAGTCAGCTCTCCTGGTCCGTGTCAGTGAGGTTTTCTCTCCATAGATGCTCAAATATTGATTGAGATCAGGGGATGAAGAAGCAGGCAGGACTGGGCATATTCTCAAATACTTTCAAACGCTCCAGGAGATGTGTAGGGAGCGCCTCAAGATATGTGGTGGCCTTTGAAAGGGCTCGTACACATGCTACCAAAACGTCCTGGGAGTGAAACCTGGTAGTTGGTGCTTGCCCTTGCAATCGTTCTGGTGTTTTTCTACCCCAAAAGCACAGAAAACATCAGCTCCCGCCTGCCCACCCCACAGGCAGGCAGGGATGGCAGATGCAGCATGCTCTGGGCCAGCATCTCCTCCAGCTTCCTGCAGCTTGTCCCGTCCCGAGAAGTAATCCTGGTTTTGTGTTCTGTTTGTTGACTCGTTACTCAAAAGCGTAAATTTACTTGAGTTATTTACTAAGTTATTTACTTGGTCTTACAGAGCAGGCTGTCAGGGCTCTAAATTGGTATTCTCTTGTGAGATTCATTGGGTGCTCATCGAACATTCATACACAAGCCCAAGCTGTGATTTATTCACAGCACTGCCCTAACTAGCCGTAGGCTCAGCATCCCTGCCACATTGTCCACAGACAAACTCCTTGCAAGGCCTTCAGCCCCTGAAGTGCTCCTTTCGGTAATTGCCTCAGTCTGCCTGCTCAAATCCCTCCCAGCTTCACAAACATCCCACAGAAGCATTGAGCCCCAGCATTAAGGGTGTTTTGTGTGGTGAAACGTAGGGTTCGTCTACCCCATACCTGATGCATCCACCATTTGATCAGTGGAGCAGTTTGTGTGGCTGGCCCAGGGCTCGTGGTGGGGCTTCGTCCACCAGAGAAGTCTCCAAGAGTCCAAAGTGGCCATGGGGTGGGACCAGGAGAGCCAGCCTGGGACGTTTGTCCTTGTTTCTAGGCACGGTTCCGAAAATCTGGAGTTCCAAAAGGGCTGTGAGTCTCCTACACCTGCTCTGCTGCTGGAACTGTAATGTCAGGAAAATGTTCCTGGGATCCCCCAGCGCCTGTGGGGTTGGGGAAAACACTGATATTTTGCTGGGTGTGCTGAAGGAGGTGGCAAGAGGCAGACAGGAGCCTTGCAGCCAGCTTTTTCTGCATCCCTGTGTCTCCCTTCCGTACGCAGCGCTGCTTTCTGGCAGATCGCAGCCCTTTGTGGATGATAGCGATGCGAGTGCAATAAACTGCTGCTCACCAATTTGCTGTTCCCCGGCAGAGAAATGGCCTTACCCTGGCTTTGAACCCAGCAGCCAGGCTGCTGCCATCAGCTGAAAGCAGGGAGACGACGGCTGGGGCTCACGTGGTGGTGCTGTTGCTGGAAAACCTTTCTGCTGGTAATTATGAGGAGTGTTTCATAAAACAAAGCTGCTGTCAGGGGCTGGGTGCCTCCTCTCCTCCGGTCAGTTGTCTCCTGGGTACAGGAGGGGAAGCACCGGGCTGGGAAGGCAGCGGGTCACCGAGACATGTGTGATTATCCAGCTCCTCTGTGTGCAGACCTCTTGTTTTTAAAGGCTTCAGAATAATTTAATTTGGAGAACTGAGAGCTGTGCCCACGCTGCGCTGGTAGGAGGGAGGCTGTGCTGCAGCTGGGTGACATTTAGGTGGGGGGAGCTGCTTAAACAAACACGTGTTGGGGTCCCAGTCCCCAGGAGCCCCAGTTTGAGGCTTGCTGGAGGTGCCCCGAGGTTGCCCATCTCCCAGGAACCCTCCTGGATGTGGCTACCAGCAGCCCCAGTGTCTGAGCCCTGTGCTATGGGTCCCCGAATTTCCTTCCCCTGCTCCATTTCTACTTCACTGGGCTCATCCGAGCGCTCATGTGTAGGGTTCGCCCTGTATTGATTTTATTTTTTTAAAAGGCTTTCACAGGACCTTCCTAGAATCTGAGCGCCTAAAGAAATAGAGAATCGGGCAGGAGGAGCCGTATCCACGTCTTTGTTGATGCATGACTTGCTAAATTTGTCTGGCTGAGCCATTATAAATGTTTCATTTCCCCCAATATT